TATTTCTCGATCGACATACGGCTGATACCTCGATTCCCTGTCTGTATCCCTTGGGGGCTTAGTTGCCGACCTGTTAGGATGAACTGAACCCGAGGGGGCTCCCAACTGGTCGTCCTCGACCCTAATCTTCGATTGGTAATGGTTATGTACATCCGACCACGTCACAACTGGATACTCGATCAGATTCTGCTTTAATTATCCGGACGCAATCGAACTCCTTTCATTCAAACCTTGCATAAAAGCTTGTACTGCCCAGTCATTTGAGACCGGTGGTAATTCCATTCGCTCCATCTGAAACATGGACATGAACTCCCTCAACATCTCGTCATTCTTTTGTTTTATCTTGAATACATCTGATTTCCTCGTTGCCACCTTTATGGCCCCGGCGTGTGCTTTCACGAAGGCGTCTGCTAGCATAGCAAACGAATTAATAAAGTTAGGAGGCAAGTTATGATACCAAATCATGTCTCCTTTCGACAAAGTTTCCCCAAATGTTTTCAACAACACGGACTCGATCTCATCATCATTCAGGTCGTTTCCTTTAATCCCACAAGTATACGAGGTAATATGCTCATTAGGGTCGGTAGTCCCGTTATATTTGGGTATATCGGGCATGCAAAACTTTTTAGGAATGGGCATCGGAGCCGCGCTTTGAGGGAATGGTTTTTGTATGAACTCTGAGGCATCTAAACCCTTCAAGACTAGAGGTGCCCCCGGTATCTGGTCAACACGGGAGTTATAAGTTTTCACCTTTTTGTCGTTGTCTTCAATCTTCTTTTCCCCGGACTCGATCCTCCTGGTGAGCTCTTCGAGCATTTTCATAATAGTGGGGTCAGTCCCCGAGCCATTTTCACTTGACCTCTCTGGCGCCGGTTCAGCACGTCGAGTGTTCTGATTCAGCTATGCTCGGGGTTTTATTCTGACTCTGAAGTTGAGCGATGGCGATCTGCTGAGCTTGCAGCATCTCGAATATCACTTGGAGGCTGACTCCCCCATCTCCTATACCTGGTGTTCTTTGGCCCCCAGATCGGGCTTCCCTGCGTACACTCCCTACGGGGTCTGTGCCTAGATCTGTATTTAAAGCAATATGCCAACTAACGTCAACTGGTTCCACATTTGGCATTTCCCCTAAGTTTATCGGTGGTACACCGACCCCTACATTGTTGTTATCCCCATGAAATCCAAGACCTTCATTGGTATGAACAGGTGTATTTTGCGAGTTTGACATGTTTAATCCTAAGAATCAGAAAATCTTGACAAGAAAAAGTGTAAAAATTACGTGTGTAATGAGAATCAGTAATGAAATAATCACTATTATCTTTAGCCCCACGGTGGGCGACAAACTGTTTACCTCGAAAATACGAGTAATAATTAAATTTGATTTGTGGTTTTAAAGGTGTGTGATTTAGTTCAATACTAATTAATAATCAAGAAATATAAAGTATATATTTTTGAAACGGGAATTAAAGTAGTAGATCTTTTAGCCCCTTATCGCCGTGGAGGAAAAATCGGACTATTCGGGGGAGCTGGAGTGGGTAGAACAGTACTTATTATAGAATTGATTAACAATATTGCTAAAGCTCACGGGGGCGTATCCGTATTTGGCGGAGTGGGTGAACGTACTCGGGTAGGAAATGATATTTACATGGAAATGAAAGAATATGGAGTGATTAATGAAGAAAATATTGCAGAATCAAAAGTGGCCCTAGTTTACGGTCAGATGAATGAACCGCCGGGAGCTCGTATGAGAGTTGGTTTGACTGCCCTAACTATGGCGGAATATTTCCGAGATGTTAATGAACAAGACGTACTTCTATTTATTGACAATATCATATATGAAAGAAACGAATGAATCAAACCAGTGTTACCAAACAATATCGGCCTCGAGCTTAGTGACCTCAAGATGAACCAAGAACAATAAAGTAAGAATAGTAAAGAGAAAAGACAAGTTTGATGAACAAAGAGCCAGAAAAATAAGATAGTATATTCGTTGTCAATGATTGGATGATCTTTACAAATGATTGGGGTCCCCTTTATATAATAGGGGAACCCTAAATAAGGTACATTTCCATTTACAGTAAGGAATCTTATTGGGACAGCTGTCTAACCGCCTAGTACGGAATCGTACAATTCTATTCCAGGATTTGCGCCATGATTCTGGGGACGTGGCAGGAGTCTCGCTCATTCTGTTAGAAATCCATAACGGCATTATTTCGGGGTCGAGCATCCTCGGCTTCGGTATTCATCGTACTTCAATCCTCGGGCATTGCATCCTATCTTCGAGCTCAAGTCTGGTCCATCGAGCTCGAACTCGATCTTGCCTGAATTCGGTCATAAGACGATCCCTCGAGCCTATTGGTCGAAGGCATATGATTTTGACCATATACAAGCTCAAAATGGCCGGTGGTGGTCGCTTGACAATGGCTTGTGTCATATTTCTAAGGCTAGGCATTGCAGCTGCAATCACCGGTAGTTCATGATTGTCTATCATCCTTACATATTGTGAAAGTTCCACAATTACTTGTTGATTTTCGATTTCTTGCCGCTCTTGTTGCTGCTTCAACTTCTTTTGTTGCTTTTATTATTTTTAATTTTTGTAGAAGAGTCTCTAATGTTCATTCTCAAAGGGTTCAAGTTTATATTTACCTCATCCTTCTTCCCTAACATTCACACAAGTACCTGAGACAGATCAGGTAAATCAAACAAATCAAAACTTGAACAGAAAACTTATAAAATTAACTCAATTAAACAATCAATTGCTAAGTCCCCAGCAACGGCGCCAAAAATTTATTGGTTCCACAAGTACATACAAGTATACGTGGCCGTCAAGTAATAAAGTGACTTGAAAGTTCGATATCGAACCCACGTAGACTCAAAATAATTATTAACTAAGCTAACTAAAATTAATTAACTATTCTAGATAATCAAAGTGATGGTATTTTCTACTAAGACTACTATTGTGATATTTAAACAAGTAAACAACTAAATTAATAAGAAGCAAGCTATTGTGGTTGAATTTTAATCAAAGGAGATGGAAATTCGAGGTTTGTGGTCGGTTTATTAATCCTATTGAGTTCATAATTACACCTATTAATCTGAAGTATCTATGATTGCTAGTTGACTGAATCGTTTATTGAAATAGCATGTTCCCACCGTACTATCTGTATTTCTGCAATATATCAATCATATACTTCTACGGTATTGATCTATCATGAACGAATACAGTATGACATTCAACTAAGGAAGACTGGTATATTTCTATCCTAACCGCGAAATTTTTCCCGAGCTACGCGTTCAGAAATAAGCTCTCTTTAGTTTTACTCTAATCTAAACATGACTTTCCCAAGTATAGCAAAGATAGTTGGGTGAATCGGTGGCTATAACAATTCACAAGTTAAAATTAGAATTAAAGAAACAACCACAAGATCATAATTCGAATTAAAAATTATGTAGTTTATATTCATGACAATTACAATACTAGAAAAAGAGTGCTTAGCCACTCATGTTCGTAGTAAAAATATCCAAGTATTTTGTATAAATAAATTACAAAGAAAAGATAAAGGAATGAAGAACTCTATGATTTTTCTCCTCCAAAAGTTATTCCACGTGATGTTCTAGCCTCCAAATAATGTCCAACCACCAAAAGAGTAGGTTTAGAACCCCATTTGATACATGTTGGGAGCGTGGGCCGAAACACCAAGTCCCAACCGAATTAGGATAAAATTCCCACTAAGGCGCCATGGGAGGCGCCTGGCGCCAAGCTGGGTGCCAAACTTTGTACTGTGCTGCCAATGGCGCCGTGGGAGGTGCTTAGCACCAAGCTAGGCGCCCAAATTTTTTACTTTGGTGCTCTGCAGCCCTTGGAGTTTTGAAGGGGCTAGGCTCCAAATTAAACGCCAAAGTCATACTCCCTCCAAATTCTTCCGTTTTGGCTTCAATTTTCTCGCAATTTCTCCAAATTACTTCAAATTGACTCTTACACATATAAGCACCATTATTAAGCTCGAGTCATAGATATTCACAATAAAGTTAACAAGATCGAGGCATAATGTAAGACAAATTACATACAAAAATATGAATTTTTAGCCAAACGTCATAACGTTAATACAATATTCATTTTGAAACCACAATTAACTCAACAATTATATGTGCAATTATAATAGATTGCATACAAACCGTTATAATTAAAATTTATTATTAGCTATTTTCTTCATCATTAGTTGGATTATTAGAACACTTTGAGCTCTTTTTTCTTCTAATTTTGTGCATATGTCTGTAACTCCTAAATATAAACACACTACTTAAAAAGAATGAACATTTATTCAGTTGTATAATTCTAACAATAGAGTAGTTAGAAAAAAAGAGTTTTTATCTTCTCTTTTCATTTTACTTCACCTCATTTAGTGAAATTTTCCAAAAGTCGCTAAATATAATCATAATAAATACCATTATCAAAATTATATATGATTAATAATCACAATTTCAAATTTTAATATATGTATAATAATTAAATAGTATAGAGATCATAAGTCTTTAATTATGAATAATATTTATATATAAATATAATCACAAATCAATATTATTTAAAATGTATTATAATGAAATGAAAGACCTTTATATAGGAAGGAAAGGATAGGGGACTCATGTAACAATATATGTTTTCTCTTTAAATTAACTGTTGACATGTCTTTCCCAAGAGAGGACTTTACCTCAAGAACTTTGTTATTTAAATTCTACAAAAAGGTATGTGACGCTTTAACTTGGTTTTATTTTTGGGATGTCTTTTCACTTTTTATTTTTTAACATTTGCTTTTTAATTATTTTCTGTGAATTGTCCCACAGTATATATTTATTTGTAAATTTTTTATTTTTTCTGTATTTACTGCAAATTCACTAGTAATCCAGTAATACAAATAATAATCACTATCATAACCAAAATGAAATCTCATTGGGAAAATCAAAGGACGGCCATTGTCCATTTGGCTATTTTGTTGCAAAAGTATCAAAGCAGCACACGACACGTCGTTTTAAACGACCGCCAGCCTCAAGTCAAACGTGTCTGCTCAGCACTTTCCCTTTCTTGAACATTCTTCTACGCGTCTGCTTACAACACCACCATCTTCTCCAAATTATTATTCTCTTTTTCGTTTACTCTCTTCATTTTTGCTTCTATAGGAGTTGTGGGTTGATATAAAAATTCATCCTAATTTCTTTCTCTTCCCCCGTCCACTGCCTGCTGACTTGTTTTGGCCCAAATTATAACCATTGATTCAGCTTCTTCAAGTTTCTTGAAGTTTTAATCACTTTGTTTGGGTCAAAGGAGATTTTTTTTTTTTCAATCCTTGACTCTGCGGCAATGGTTCAGATAAAAGAATTGTATCCTTTAGTGATGAAATTTTAGCATTTTTATTGTATTTGTATGTTTAAAATTATGCTTTGCTTATTATGAGCCTCAGTTTAGTGCTTTTTTTAGTTAATTCTTCAAGAATTGTTCTTTTAGTCCAAAGGGTATTGGACAGTATTTTTGTACTCTGTTGGTTCCAATTTGTTTGGTGCTCTTTCTTTGTTATACATGTCAAAAAGACTGGTATATATTTATATTTTTGGAAACTATTTAATCTTTACATTTGAATTTGGGAACACCACTAGATACAAAATGAGATGGTGGACTAGGAGGGTGTTTGGCTAAGCTTATAAGCTGGTCAAACTGGCTTATAAGCAATTTTTGGCTTATCTACGACGTTTGGTAAAATTAAAAGTGCTTATAAGTTAAGTGCTTATAAGCCAAAAATAAGCCAAAAGCCATAAGTTGGTCTCCCCCAACTTATCAAATTTCAGCTTATAAGCACTTTAGGTTTGACCAAAATATTTACTATTCTATCCCTAAAATACTTCTTTTTAAAACAAAACTCTTTGTATATCCAATTTTTTAGCTGCTTATTATTAATTTCAGCACTTTTATCCAAACACGTAACTGTTTATTTTTTAAATCAGTTTCAGCACTTAAAAGTGCTTTTCAGCACCTATGTTTATCAGCTACTCTAAATCAGCTAAGCCAAACGGGGGTTTAGCCGAATAAAAGTAGTACTCCATCCGTCCAATTTATGTGAATCTGTTTGACTGGACACGGAGTTTAAGAAAAAATAAAGACTTTTGGAATTTGTGGTCCTAAACAAGTCAAAAAGGGGCCATTTGTGTGGTTATAAAAGCTTCTCATTAAGGGTAGAATTGTAAGTTTAAGCTAAACTGTTACCAAATTTAGAATGGGGTCATTATTTTTTGAACAGACCAAAAAAAAAAATAGGTTCACATAAACTGGAACAGAGGGACTAGTTTTTTAGGCTGAAAATCACTTTTTTAAGTGTTGGAGCTGATTTTAGGAATAAGCAGTTATGTGTTTGGAATGAAGTGTTAAAATTTAGCTGTTTTGTGATTTTCCATTTTATTGGTGTTTCCTTGACCAATAACTTCTTTTTTTACTGGGGATTTTCTGAAGTCGAATTGTGATGCCCTTATCATTGGAAGAGGTATACTAAAGTGAAAAACTTTGAGAAATAAACTAAATGCTTATTTGAGTGTTTGATGGATAATTAATTTAGTATTTGCATTGCAGTATCAGATAGCTCAAATGTACATGGTCATGAAAATGCAACAACAGAGCACTACAGGTGATGAAGGGGTAGAGGTTTTACAAAACAAACCATTTAGTGATGATGAATTTGGAGAGGGCCAATACACTTCAAAAGTTTACCACTTGCAGAGGTAACTTGAGTTCATAACTTATTTAATGAATTTTATTTGAAAGTTGGTCTATCGGACACAATCTCTCTATCCCTACCCGTCTGTCCTTCCAGGGTAGGGGTAAGGCTGCGTACATCTTACCCTCCCCAGACCCCACTTGTGGGAAAAAAGTGGGTTTGTTGTTGTTGTTGTTGTTATTTGAAAGCTGCTCTATTTTGTCTCCAGTTGATTGAATAAGCAGTGTGCCATTAATCAATACAAGTAATTAGCTTTATGATGATTATTTATGAGTCAAAGGAGTTAAGTACCTTGCACACAATTGATCCGGCTTAAGAAACCAGTTAACTAGTAGTCGTGTGAGGATAATTGTAAATTGAATCAACTGTTATTTAGGTAATCGCTAGTCTGTAGCTGTAGAAGTTCCTGTGGTGCCATATAAAGACTGCTTTTTGAGTACCTTTTTTTTTAAAAAAATAAAAAAAAAATTGGAACTTATAGTCTGAGACTCGATTCGCCTCGTCATTGCAGCAAAGCACCATCTTGGTTGACTACATTTGCACCAGCTGATGCCCTTGTGATGCAAGAGGAAGCTTGGAATGCATACCCTAAATGTAGATCAGGTTCATGTTCTTACTTGCACTTGATTTTCTTTTCATTGTTAGATCCAAATTCTTCAGTGTGCTCTTGTACTAACCTATTTACTGGTTTCTGTCGGAAATGTATCACCATTCAATGCAGTTGTTAAGGTAACTACTGTTGTGACATCTGCAGTCCTTAACTCCCTATACATTGTGGAACTCTCTGATACAATTTGGAGTATTAAAATTGTTGATTGATTTCTTTATGCAGTCCCCATATTTTTCGAGATTCTTTATGAGCATTGACACAATACACAAAGCTGACAATGGCTGTTCTGAAAATGTAAGTTCAATGTACTTGATTGCAGAGCTACCGTGAGAATTGTAATACCATGAGAGTTGTGTTATCATTCCTGTGGGTGTCTTGGAAATTGGCATTGACTTGAGATAATAATGTAATAGGTGCATGGCCTGAGCAAGGAACAACTGGCAGCTAGGCAGGTCGAAGTTATTGATATTGCTTCAACTGCTACTGATTATTGGAGTTACATAGTGGGACGGAACGATGTTGATTTATCTAATTTCCGATCAGCAAGAAGCGGCCGTGGCCCACTCTTGGAAGGCTGGCAGGTTTGTGTATCCCTTTTTTACAGTAGAAGTGCATGATAAACCTTTGTCCCCTCCTTTTAGAAGGTTTTTCAGTTGGCTTGGAAACGGATTACAGGCCTTGGATTTCTTATGCTAACTCCTTTGGCTTTCATACTTTTATTTGTTTATTTGTGGAGTCTAAGACTAATAGTTCAGAAAATACGAATTCCACCTTAAAAACTGTAACCGGTCCAACGGCATGAACAACTATGTTTAGAACTCTGATTCTAGCATTCACTTATTTAATTGCTTTAGATTTGTTGCCTGGCAAAGGAAAAGGGAAACACTTTGGTACGGGGTCCAGCGCCAACAGTTTCTTTGTAATTAAGGTATTGGTTGATCCTCTTTAATTGAGGAAGACTGTAATTGGATCAACTTGAATTCAGAACAGTTATTAGCTAAAAGACCAGTTATACCTCCTGTAATAAATATAAATGCGAACCGTTTAGTTTCGCTTTTTGTAACCGACACACAAATGCTATATTTTTATAGTTAAACGAATTGATAATAGAAGACTCTCACAACACCTAAATTAGATTTTGATCATGAAGTTGTTTCACTTTGGTCCTTATAAGATTAAGAGGTCATTGTGGCATCCAAAGGTGTAGCCTAGTCAAGAAGCTGGAATGTAGACCGGGAGAGACCAGAGGTTTGAATCCTAGGAGAGGGAAAACATTAGGTGGTTTCTTTCCATGACAACATCATCTAATACTTGTATCGGTGGGACAAACACAACATTGCTTTTTTTTTAAAATGGAGTAAGGTATCCTTGTGGGACTATTAGAGTTCAGTCGAAGAAATTGTGAGGAAATCATTGAAGGAATGATTACTGTAAGCTCTAGAGAATCTGATTGCAGAGATTATTTATATGAACTTAGATGAGCATCTTTTTCCCTTTATCTCAAGCGTCGTTTAGTTTGTAAGTGGTGTAATACTGAGTTTTACCGAGGGATGAGGTTAGGTAACTTGTGTCTTGTTTCTTTTTTGTCGGATTAAAGGGGATTAAATTTTGGGATGAAGTTTTCTTTCCAAATTGAGATTAGTCTTATATCAAAAAACGAAAGAATAGACTACAATAAGTTGATAATCTAATGAAGACTTATGACTGAATGGCCTGGGCTGGGCAGTGTGTGAGGGTTAGCTGCGAGGGGGAATTTGGAATGATTTTGATTTGGTACACAAACAACCCCCCCCCCACCACACACACACACCACACCCCACCCCGCGACCACACATACTAGCACATGGATAACTGGCCCCTCTAATCCTTCTTCCCATTACTAACCAAAAGCTGGACAGGTGGCAGAGCTGCTATTCGTTTCCTTCGTTTCCACAAACGAAGTGACCCCTGAAGGTAAGTAGGATTACATAGATAAGTACCAACCACAATGATCATAACTAGAGTAAAACACCTTCAACAATTTTTGTTGGTGTAAGAGTTTGTTTTTGGGAGAAATCAAGAAAGTTATACTTCATTTCTGTTCTTCTCTATTTGATTATGTCATCCAGCTTGAAGTTTTCAGTCATATACAGCTAGCTTGCATGACTGTTGTTTTTTGCTTCATAAGATACATGATACCAGCACGAATATTAACAAGGATGTTCTGAAATTTCTGCTAATTCTCTTTCCTTTACGGCCTTTTGGTCCTTCTAAGATTAGATGCCTTATTGTGAAGCTGGTGCCTACTGTATAGTCTGTGCTACACTTTTTACGCCTCTTATATGTTGCTATGGATTAACATGTACCGGCTTCAGTTGCAAAAAAAATACTATATTGAGTGCGACTTCCTCTCTTTGACAACTCCTATTAATTCTACTGTTTCTTGGTATTGGCAGGACCATTGCAGTCCCATTATGACAGCTTACAAACTGGTGATTATAGATGCTCCATACTGGGGCTTTGGGAGCAGATTGGAACAAGCTTTGCTAGCGGTATAAATTTTGGATGCTTCATTAAATTTTTGAGTTATGGAATCGTTGCTTTATACGTTCTGCTTGAAAATGATTCGAGGGCATCAATACATCTTCCATAACTTGAAGTCTTGAATACTAAAATATTCATAAAATATGCGACACATCCCACTAATATTGACTGATCTAATGAGCCGGTGACACGTAAAGTCATGTCATGGCATATATCAGTTAAAGGAGGATACCTATGTTCTCTGAAACACCTGACTGCAATAGCAAGTGGTTTCTCTAATCTTATCTATTGACATTGCCAAAGCTTGTTTCCTCTACAGTCTACAAACCTGATGTCATTGATGTCTAAGTACTGAGTTTTGTATTGCTGAGGTAGATTGAGGTTAAAGAATGTGTTGACATCTAGGAGCAGTGTGCTTAGTTTCCAAACTCTAATTAATTCTAGTGCATTTGATGGTTGTTTAGTGAAGAACACTTAAGTTGTTGGCCCAGCTCTTGTATAAGTGATCACTCAATTGAACAAGTGCGAAGAACAATTAATTGTTCTAGTGAATCTGTTCTGTAAATAACTGGGTTTTTTTCCAAAACTTTTAAAGACGATGTTCAAGCTCCAGTGCTTATAATCTATATCACCATGAACTCACTGGGAATTAAATATGATATTGCTCTTTTTCCTCTTTCTGATTTTCCTTTGGCATCTTTATTCTTAGGGTGAAAGGGCTCTGTTCCTGGAAAGTCATCGTAATTGCTTTGCCTGGATTGACGAATGGTTTGGGTTGAAAGTGGAGGTGTTGCGCGAGTTAGAGCAACAAAGTGATTATTCATTGAATATGGTAAGGCAGATCTATACATATTGTTCTCTTTTTATGGGGTTATATGATCACCTTACTGCCAAACTTATTTCTGTGACTTGATAAATAAATTGGATCTCTGAAATGCTTAACTTTCTTGACTTACTTAGGATATAACCTTTTGTAGCGCTCTTATCTCCTGCTTCCTCAAGCTGCAGCAGGATCATTATTTCTTTGTTTAGTTTCTCTTCCATGTCTTTACTTTGTTTTAATATCCCTTTTCCCTTCAGTTTACAGCCATGACATGATAAATCCCATCAGCAGCCTTCCATTTAGGTTAGAATAACTATGTTTCTTCTATATTATAGTATTATATCCCATGATTCTGCGACTGATATTCCTTTCATTTAGATCGATGCCAAGTTTGGTTAAAAAAAGGGTTGTGGGTTAAACCGTTATTTAATGATTGTCTAGGTTCGTGCTTAATATTTCCTTGTCACCTTTTTTTTGTTTTTTTTTGTTTTTTTTTTTTTTTTTGGGGGGGTGGGGGGCTGCGAGGTTGTAATTCCGCCCGGCCTTCAGTATGACCGTAAAATACTCGTTTAAGATCAGCTCTTCCCGAGAACATCAAAGGATTTGGGAAAGTATATAAATCCTTGGAGCTGTGAGATCGTGACAAAATGAGATAGGATTGGATGAGGAAAGGAACTGAGGAAGATAGAGAACTAGGGAGGGGGCTGCACAAGAAGGATAATTTTTATTCCGGGTTTGGTTTAAAGGATTGCGGTTTTGACAATTTTGCAAGAATGTATCCCTTCCATTAGATTGTTTGTCCATACTTCCAGAGATGGAGGGATGGTCATTGCATTCTTTTTTATCTATCTTTAGAAGTACGGTGTGGGTCGCTCTTCCTATCTGCCGTACCCCCAATCCTCCTCCATACTAAGGTTCCTTCAAAGAAGCAGTTCGGTAGAACAGTTTAACGTGCAGAGCTTAATTTATTTAAGCAAAATAATAAAGCAAAAAGTAGCCAAAATTAACACACTAATTTTTTATACTTTTGGTGAAAGGGAAATGTAAGATTGTTTCTTGCACAATGACTTGGAATTTTCTTTCTATAACACCTCAGGCAGACCTGGTTGTCAATTAAGAGTTTTGCCGTATTGACTAGAAAACCTGCACTTTTTAAGTTAAACATAAATTTCATATGTATGTGTTGCATTAAGGTTGATGTTTATGACTGATAACATTTTGTTGGCAGAAACTTGGCCGGCCTTGTTCGGCTGAGAAGAGTTGGATGACACAAGAGGAATCTCCACTTGAAGGCGAAAAGTCTGCTGCATGAATGTGCAATTCACAGCTGCTGTTGGTTTTGTTTTTAGATTTCATATCCATGTTATGTGTTGTAGATAAAAATATCATTGGCGTCCCTTAGGCTTTACATTGTAGTTTCTGGTGACTGATAGGTCTGCTGTCCGCGACTACTTGGTAAGGCAGGGACAAGTGCTAAAATTAGGCATAACCAGTAAAGTTTTATTTTCTGATGTTTTCATTCTTTAGGGGGTAAGATTAGGTAATAATGTAGTTATGTCGAACCGGAGACATTTTAGTGAATACAGTTTAGCTTCTTGATCTTAAAACTGTAAAGTGTATATTATATAGTTCAAAAGAATTAATTGAATTTTGCTGAAACATTTCTTGGAGTCATTTACAATGCTTTACATGCTTTTATTAGTTCTATATGGTTCTAAAGGTGAAAGGGGTCTTTGTTTTCTCTATGGTTTTTGTATGGGTCAGAATCCGATCTCACGGTAACTAACGGAGTTAATCTCGTCTTAAGCTAATTCATAATTAATAAGGGGTATGGCCACTTATTCATAACAGGATTCGACTCTTGTCCGATTTAATCTACGAGGCCCCGGCTCAGTCATTCCCCCATGGGGACGGAACCTCAGCGTGGCCACGGTCTTTTATTGCCAGCTCACAAAGCTCACATCTATAAATATTAAGAGTGGAAGCCCTAGAAAGGGGCTGCTTCTTCACCACTATTGAGAAGAGAGAGAGAAGAGAAAAATATACCCATCTTATGGGAAGAGAAAACACCATTGTAAGGCTCTGAACCTCTTCATGGAGAGGCAGACCAAACCAATCTTATCAATAAAAGCTGTTAAGATTTCTTCTCCTAACCTTGAGTACTTATTTTTATGTTCTTCGCTTGGTCCAATGAATTATTACGATTTGCTATGATTTTTCCGTAACTTATTTGTATTGTTTTGCACTCATAAAGCACATGATAACTTTTGAGCAAACAATTTGGCGCCGTCTGTGAGGATTTCATAGCAAAATCGCGTAGTTCTTCCATGGACCAAAAGGAAAGAAACGCCGGAAAAGGAGGAACAACCCCGCATAAACAAGCCAAAGCGGCATATCAGGCCGATGGAACTCGAAGATCTCAAACCAAGATCTAAGTCCTCTCTCTCTCTCCGATCTCAGATAGTGCAAACAAAAAGAGGAAGCCCCCCCCCCCCCTAAGGGAAGGTCTCTGTAAGGCATCTCCCACATCCCTGATACGAGCTCCGGCCAGAAACCGGCACGGAGATATCTCGAGCGAGAGTCGCCTCAAGACAGCCTATAAACCCTGGTTGGGAAGACAACGGATGAGCCGCTCAAGGTCTCAAATCCAAACCGAGCTTCAGCACTCAATACCCACAATATGGGACTCAGGCCATGAGCCTTCGTCATCAAGATCGACAAAGTTCAACAACAGTTGAACTGGGACTCAGGCCATGAGCCTTCGTCATCAAAGATCGACAAAGTTCAACAACAGTTGAACTGGGACTCAGGCCATGAGCCTTCGTCATCAAAGATCGACAAAAGTTAAACAACAGTTGAACTGGGACTCAGGCCATGAGCCTTCGCCATCAAGATCGACAAAATTCAACAACAATTGAACTGGGATTCAGGCTATGTGCCTTCGCCAGTAAGTTCAACTACGGTTGAACCAAGATTCAGGCTATGCGCCTTCGCCAGTAAGTTCAACTACGGTTGAACCAAGATTCAGGCTAAGCGCCTTCGTCATTAAATCAAGGCTATGCGCCTTCGCCAGCAAGTTCAACTACGGTTGAACCAAGACTCAGGCTAAGCGCCTTCGTCATTAAATCAAGGCTATGCGCCTTCGCCAGCAAGTTCAACTACGGTTGAACCAAGACTCAGGCTAAGCGCCTTCGTCATTAAATCAAGGCTATGCGCCTTCGTCAAAAAGTTCAACTACGGTTGAACCAAGACTCAGGCTAAGCGCCTTCGTCATTAAATCAAGGCTATGCGCGCCTTCGCCATTAAATCAAGGCTATGCGCCTTCGCCAACAAGTTCAACTACGGTCGAACTGGAACTCAGGCTATGCGCCTTCACCAACAAGTTCAACTACGGTCGAACTGCTACTCAGGCTATGCGCCTTCACCAAAAAGTTCAACTACGGTTGAACCAAGACAGGCTATGCGCCTTCACCAAAAAGTTCAACTACGGTTGTACCAAGACAGGCTATGCGCCTTCACCAAAAAGTTCAACTACGGTTGAACCAAGACAGGCTATGCGCCTTCACCAACAAGTTCAACTACGGTCGAACTGGAACTCAGGCTATGCGCCTTCACAAAAAAGTTCAACTACGATTGAACCAAGACAGGCTACGCGCCTTCACCAGAAAGTTCAACTACGGTTGAACCGGGACTCAGGCTATGCGCCTTCGCCATTATATCAGGGCTATGCGCCTTCGTCAAAACGTTCAACTACGGTTGAACCAAGACAGGCTACGCGCCTTCACCAGAAAGTTCAACTACGGTTGAACCGGGACTCAGGCTATGCGCCTTCGCCATTATATCAAGGCTA